TGAGTCAACCCTGAGCCGGTGAGATTTGAACCGCTGACCTGCTGATCTAGCAGTAGCCTGCAGTGCTGCATTTAACCACTGCGCCACCTTGGCTCTTACATAACGTCATTGAGAGTAAAGTGGCAGAACTTCCAGGTAAGGGGAGGGTGGGGTAGGTGGGGAGGATCTGGGAGGCTCAACACAAGCTATGCACAAGCACAGAGAGGCCAGGGGAAGTAGGGTGTGGTGCTACACCAGTGCAGAGAAGCAGAATAGCTTAGGGAAGATGGTTGTGTTGCTGTGCAAACTTAGGGAGGCCAGGGAAACAGGGAAAGGAGGCCATGTGGAGACTGGTGAAAACAGGATATGGTGCTGCATGAACACAGGAATGCCAGAGAAAACAGGGCACAGTGCCATGCAAGCTGTTTATGTCACAATTGAAGCCTGAATCTGTGGAGGAAGATGAGCAGGAGTTGGAGCTGAGGAAGACTGAGGGGGTGACTTCGTTGGCTTCAGAGGAATGTGGGGAGGAGGTACACCAGGGCCCCTCAGGAGTGGGTCGGCTTGCTAGCAGGTAGGAATGGGACCAGCATGAACAAGAGGGCAGGCAGTGGAAATAAGGAGTGAAGGAGCTCAGGCAATGGGCAAGAAACCCAACCAACCCGATCCCTGATAGTGGAGAAGAGGTGGGAACAGCGCAGGCCAACCAGAAGATTTGGGAGGAGAGCACCCTGTCTCTCTTCACAAGGCACATCTGGAGATTGTGACTTAAGGAGATGCTGTGAGGAGGGCAGTTTGTTGGGAAGAAGCGCTGAATTCATGGGAGTTTTGGGTGCCACTGCTGAAGTTTGGAGTTTCCTGGACTTTTTGCTTTATTTCTTGCTTCCTGCATTAATTGCCTTGTTCCTTTGCTTCCTGAAACCATTGCTGTGTTCCTCTGCTTCCTGAACTTATTGATTTATTCCCTTGCCCTGCTGGATTTCTTACTTTGTGTGGGAATACTTGCAGCCAGAGACTGCTGGAAGTGTGTGTGTGTGGATTGTATGATCACTTAGCTCTGGGACTTGCAATAACATGGGAGCATTTGGGGGAAAGTTAGAGCAATAAAGGGACGATTTGAAGTATCAGTTGGCTTTGTTGCCTCTGTGTGTGATGACACAAGCAGAATGAGGCTGGAAAGGAGTCCATGGGTTGGCCCAAGAACAGGGAGGCCAGGGGAAGGAGGCTGCAGATTGACACAAGTGCAGGGAGGCTGGGGACAGGAGAATGTGATATCATATGAGTGCAGGGAGTCTGGGGTGATTTATCAGAACAATTTGCAACCTTCCTTGTTGACTTGGTTTGTGGGAAGCCGATGGGGAAATGTTGGAAATGGAGATCAATGACTGTGAAGCACCACAACTGTCATAAGTATGAGCAGGTTGCCAAGTACTGAACTTGTGATCTTGTGTCTGCAGGGGTAGTGAGAAAAATGGAATTTTGAGGACCAGTCATATGTACCACTTGTTCAGCAGCATCACAACTTTAAATGGTTGCTGTACAAATGGTCAGTAAGCAAGGACTACCTGTATGCTATCATGCATATAATAAACATACTTGGATTTTACAATTCACAAATAGCTCTTCCACAGTTTTTCTGTCCCGTTCGTGAAGGCCAGCATGGTGGATGCCTATTCCAAAAGCCAGGGTCAGTTTAAGATTAGACTCTCGTACTGTTGAAATGATGGCACTCATCTGTAATACATAAGTTTAACAGTATAAGACAGATTTACTTCAGAATCTTTCAGAACATTTTCATCAATAGCAGGAATGTTAATTAAAAGGGTCTTCAAAACAATGTATTATTCACAATATTNCACACACACACACACACACATTTTTTATTTTAAAGTAGATGTATTCTGCTTGAAAATGTTATGCATGGCAGATAAAATGTAAAACTTTAACCATTAAAACATTAAAAAGTTATTTCCAGTTTATAAAAAGAAAGTTAAAATAAGCTTCAAGTGCTTATATGAAAACTCCAACAATATTGTCTCACATCCTCAGTGTGAAATTTGGTTTCATAAGAGGTAAGAAATAACGGGGACTGGAAATATTGTCTCCAAGATTCCAAATGTCATAGAAAAATAGCCATTATAATTTCACATCTGTGATAAATAATAGAACAAGGAAATGAACATAAAATCCCAGGCATGATTTGAGATCTTTAAAACTGTATATGTTATCCTTTGGGTGATTATTTACATAAATGAATTATTCTGATTGTAGCTTCTGTACCATATCAGCTACATAACTTACATATCTAGTTCACCTTATTTCCTCTTTGTAACTGTTACCTGTTTCCAGATGTAATAATATTTCTTATATTCTATTGAAGGTATTATTTTTAACTTTTAAATCAAACCCATTATATTGTTTAGTGGGTGAGAAGTGTAGATAGATAATACATTTTTGTAAATTGTCTGATTTTCTTTAAAAAATTAAAAAATCCTGTTATGAAAAATCAAATAAATCATGTGGCATATGTAATTTAGCTTAATTCGCTTTCATTTTCAGGAATAAGAATTAATCTTTCATAGAGTAAAATAGTCCTTTTCAATTTGTGATTATACCTGTAATTGGATAATCCACATAACGCCTGGTCTTCCCATCATAGAATTCTGTTCCTTTAACAATTACTAAATGTGCTGGAAAATTGACACCCCAGGCTAATGTACTTGTGGCAATAAGAACCTAAAAAGGAAAAAGATGTAACTGTGTAAACTTTTTTTTAACAAAAAGTGTAAAAAAAACCATGTTTTTGAAGTTAATAAAATGTGTCTCATACAGATAATACCTGGGTTGCAACAGCAATTGGGATTGTCATGCGATCATAAAGTTGCTTAGTGACAACAATCCTGGCAGTCTCTTTTGCAGATGTCACCTCAAGATATGTGGGTCATTATAGCAATATAGCAATAGCAGTAGACTTATATACCGCTTCATAGGCCTTTCAGGCCTCTCTAAGCGGTTTACAGAG